TCTCTCTCTCAAATAAATAAATAAAATCTTTAAAAAAAAAAAAAGGATACAGGATACTAGTAAGAAGGGGCACCGGGGAGCCAAACAGGGCAGGGAACCTAACATACCCCCCCAGAGGGGCACACAGAGAGAAAGAGTCTCTGCAAAGGAACGTCAGCGCAAGATATGAACCCGCACCTGAGCTGCAAAGAACCAATTTATCCATTTGGTCCATTTACGCTCAAGACAAGGAAGAAATGACTAAGCTTTTTCTTCTTTAAACATGTGCAGCCTTTGGTTATAAAAAGAACTGAACTAACTTTCGTTAGAAGGCCAAATCTTTTTCCCTTTCTTCGTCCACATGTAACAAAAGTCCTGCAAAATTGAATAGAGCAGACACTACCTTCTAAACCGCCCCATGGGCGAGCCCCAGTTCCGAGCTCCCGAGCAGCTGGAGCCTCTGAGCCAGGCCAGCAGGTGAGCTGTGAGGGCAGAGCCGCCTCTGGGAAAGTGGGCAGCTAAAAATATCCAAGCCGCTTGTCAGATGGGGGAGGCTGCCAGCCTGTCGGCAGCGGCTGGGAGTGTGGCCCACCCGTCCTCCTTGTTCACAACATGGTCCTTCCGTGTCCCTCGGTCCTCTGTGCACTTCCTTCCCGGCCTCCCTGGTGGCTCCCCCTCTCCTCCTTGACCTTTCAATGTGGAGCATCCCAGGGTGTAATCCTGGGACCTTCTCTCTGTCTCTTATTCCCTGGGTGATCTCGCCCTGTGTCTGGACTTAAAAGGCCATCAATATGCCAACCGGTCTCCGATTTCTCTTTCCAGCCCGGACGGCTCTCCTGAACTTGACTCGTAGATCTGTCTACTTGACGTCTCCACTTGTGTGGCTACAGACTGCTCACACTGAGGCTCAGACCTGCACTCTTTTAAGATTTTTTTTAAAACTTGTAATTGTGGTAACCTACGTAATGTGACTTTTACTTCCTTAGCCATTGCTAAGCGTGCGGGTCTCTGGCGTTGAGTACATTCACACTGTAGCTGTCACTAGGACCACCACGTCTCCAGAACTTTCTCATCTTCCCCAGCTGGAATTCTGTCCCTAATCAACACTCCCCAGCAGCCCCCCCAGCCCCCCGAACCACCGTTCTTTTTTTTTTTTTTTAAGATTTATTTATTTATTTATTTGAGAGAGAGAGAATGAGAGAGAGCACATGAGAGTGGGGAGGGTCAGAGGGAGAAGCAG